GAAGTCGTCTTCTCCATGAGTACTCGTGAGTACTCATGAGTAGAAGTTAACATGACTTCTACTCATGAGTAGAAGTCATGTCAACTTCTACTCATGTAGAAGTCATGTCAACTTCTGAGTAGAAGTCGACTTCTACATGAGTAGAAGTTGACTTCTACTCATGTAGAAGTCAACTTCTACATGAGTAGAAGTCCTACTCATGTAGAAGTCATGTCAACTTCTACTCATAGAAGTTGACTTCTACTCATGTAGAAGTCAACTTCTACATGAGTAGAAGTCCTACTCATGTAGAAGTCATGTCAACTTCTATGAGTAGAAGTTGACTTCTACTCATGTAGAAGTCAACTTCTACTCATGAGTAGAAGTCCAGTCAACTTCTACATGAGTAGAAGTTGACTGGACTTCTACTCCTGTCAACCTAAAGACTCTAGATATACAGCAACTTAAGATAATTTTTTACATCTGTCCTGAGTTTTAAAGTCATCTCTGTTTGCAGGTACAGCTCGCTGCCAGATCATCTTAAGGACAGAGCTTTCGCCATGTGGCAAAACAAATGGGACACCTTCATCTCTGATAATTCATGACTGTCCAATCATAACTGATCCTGTTTGACTTGAACTATAATAAAAAATCCCAGGATGTTGCCTGGTCTAGTGGAGCACTGTCCTTACAGGTCACAGTACCTGTTTCTCTGAATTAATGTGCCGTTTCTGTGCCGTAATCACATGTTGAATCGTCCATCTCTGACCGCTGCACTGCTGGAGAACCAGTCTGGGATACATGTCTCTCAGCACTACTTCCAGGCATCTCTTAGTGTCTCTGTTCTGGATCTGTCCTCCCTGTGAATAAAATTATTTTATCTTTAACTTCCCTCCAGAAAAAAACACTTTGTGTTGCATATTTAGATTGAAATTGTTTTTACCTGTTTGAAGTCCCAAAACATGTGGAGTTTCTTCTGCTGGGCCAGGTTGCACTGGTACAGTCCTGGTGAAACTCCTGAACCAGGATCCACCAGACAGTTGTTGCTGCTGTATTTGTGTGATTGGATCCCACCGATGTAAAGTTTTCCGTCAGTGAGGTAATAACAGTGCTGAGAGACAGAAAAACAAAATCAAGAAGCAAGAAGCAAAAGTCTGAATGTTGTAAGCTGCTGAGCGTTACCTGAGAGGAGAAGAAGTGGCAACTATAGAGGATGGGTGTGGAGCCAGGAGCCGGGCCCTGATCCACACACTCAGCGGGCCAGCGGTCATTAATCAGCTGCACACAAAAAAACAAACATGATAAAATGTTTCATGTAGTTCTGTGGAGGCCACCAGTAACCAGTACTGATTACTGGTGCTAGCTTTTTAGCATATATAATGGATAAGTTCAAATTTATCGGCAGTAAAGTTTCACAACCCCCCCACCCCCTCAATTTTTAGATTAATCTCAAAATTTTAAAAGTCAATGTTCAACTTCTTTTCTATCTATAATGATGATAGTGTAAAAACCCAAAAGCCACAAGTAGACCAGAGACATTTTTACAATTTGTGCTGAGCTTGGTTGTAAAATGGCAAATCATCTCCTATGAAATGTTTAGGCTAGAAGGCTAGAAATAGACTGCTACTAAAGACTTTTCAGTCTGGTAACTTTAGATCCTGGCAGGAGAAGGGAATTTGCCGATTGGAGCACTGCTACGAAAAGCAAGTATTTATGTCACTACAGCAGTTAAAAGAAGTTTAAACTGACAAAGATTTCCTTGGCTATCTCCAACTTCGGACTTCATAAGAGCTAATCAGAAAGGAAGTTGGAAGCTACCATCTATGCCTCCCATTGAGGAAATGTGTCATGCCAGTTGGCCGTTATGTAAAATCATTTCAAGGGTGTATACAGCACTTTAGCTATAAATGGGATGGATAGTTCCAGAATCAAATGGGAAAAGGATCTGGGAATATCTATTGAGAGGCAATTATGGAATAATTTGTGCAGAGAAGGTCTCACATCTACTCTAAATGCTCGATTTAGACTAGTACAATTTAATTTTACACATCAGTTATATGTCACCCCACAAAAATTACATAAATATAATTCCAATATATCTCCTCTTTGTTTTAGATGTGGCATGGAGGAAGGAACATTCCTCCATGCCACCTGGCATTGCTCTAAATTGCAGGGTTTTTGGAAGGGGGTTTGTGAAACGTTAGACATTCAGCATCATGATTCCAATAGACCCGGATATCTGTCTATTGGGGAACTTTACAAATTCCAATTTAAAGACAGTCTATGACAAGAAACTTACAGAAATCCTTTTGGCAATTGCTAGAAATGCATTACAACAAAATGGAAATCAGACTCCCTGCTCCCAATTAAAATGTGGCTTTGTGAGATTAATAGCTGTGTGACACTAGAAAAAAATAACCTATTGGATGCAGAATAGAGGTAAGACTTTTTACAAAATATGGCAGCCTTTTTTAAGTTATATGCAAAATCTACCAGCACATTGGATTGATTGATGATCCTGTAATCGAGCTGGACTCGACAAGATTTATGAGCGAATCTGATACCATCTATGTCTCAATCCATTTCCGATTCATATACATTTTATTTCATCCCTATAGATTACCCACCCCCGTCCAGTCCTTCTTAGGTTGTTGCGTTATATTATTGTAAATGTATTTTACTTTCAATATGTCTCATTGTTTGAATTGTGCTTCATTGTGTACCAGTTTTGTCCCATTAGTTTATACCTGCGATGTTACTACTAAAAATCCAAAATAAAATATTCTTAAAAAAAAACAAAAAAACCCATCTCCTATATTTCTATTTTTTTTTCTGGCTTGTATTTGATTTGTCTTGTGGTTTTCCCAACCACAGGTCTTTTATTCAGGTAAAATACTGTCTGCTGATAACTACTCCACAGAACCCCATCTCAAAAATATCACACCTTTTCCTTTAGCTGCCATTATAACTTAGCAGTAACTAATTGGCACATTGAGACCCTGAGGATTTAAAAGCTCAGTGTTTTTAACTCACAACTCCGTAGCCCAGCAGGTCCTGCAGCAGTTCCAGCATGGGGTAAACATTATCCAGGTACCACTGGAAGGGTTTACACTTCAGCCTCTCCCTCAGCTTCTTCCTCTCAGAAACATCCCCGATATCAATTCCATGATTCTGTTGGAGAACACATTCAATAAGATCACATGAGGCCGTTTTCTGGTTCATTAAACTCGTTTGTGGCCTTTCCTAAACCCTAATCAGATTATTTTTGATGACTAAAGATTGAACTCATGTTAGTAATAATGTGGCGTCTCGTCTGACCCCGATGGGGAGGTTCCAGGCCACTTCCACGTTGTATTTGTAGTCGTCCATCCAGACCTCTGCCACCCTCAGGGCGTTGCGTCTCACCAAGGCGCTCAGGTCCGGGGCGTAGGGCTTATGAAAGCGTTCAATGTGAGCGACCTTGGAGCAGGGAATGACCTCTATGCTGCCTCCACACAGCCACACCTGCCAAAACACAAACTCACTTTAAAACAGTCAAAGAAAGGCAAAACAAGAGTCTAAAACACACTTTTAATATTAATAATTCTTCACTAATAAGCTGGAAAGTTGTTTGTTCCAGAAACCACCACTAGGGGGCAGATGACTGAATTAATCTCATAAGTTAAAAATGAAAAATGCCAATTAAATGTATTCAATTTTCTTTTAATTACTTTTTATATCTCTAATATTTGTACATTACTTTTATTATTTAACTGTCATCCTTTTTTTCCATTTTTGTGGTAAAATAAATTAGAAACAAATATTGAATTGTCAAAAATAAATTACAGAAAATTCTAAAATGAATATCAAATCAGCTAAATTGTAAATGTAAAATTAGAGGCTAAAGTGATTTTTTTTTTTACTAAAATATTTTTTTCCCTACATCATTCCAAAGTACAAATCTAGTAATATTTGTTTACCATCTAAATGTATTAAAACTGATTCCATATATCCACTTTAATGTGGCAGGGACAAATTACTGAGCTAAATAAATAAATGGAACAGCAATATTGTCATTTTATATATAACAAAACCAACACTTGTAACATATAAAAGACGAGTCTAAACCATTTCATTGTGTTTCTCTTTGGTTCTGAGCTCATTTTAAATCTCACCCGGATGCCGAGCTCCACGTTTTCACCTCCGTATGTCTTCATCCCGCCATCAAGGCTTCCGATCTCTCCAAAAAACTTCCGATCTGCAACTAGTATTCCCATGACGGACGGACTCCTGGTGGGACCAGGAAACAGATCAAACACTGAAAGTGACTACTGATAAGTCAATATACAACAACAGATAAATCAAATCTTAAAGGCTCCATCTGGTGCCACCTAGTGGCTGACATTCTAAGTGGCGAAGACAGTGAAGCATTGATTTAAATACTTTACATGCAGCCTAGAGATTAGTTCTGCAATTATTTTAAGACTAAACGCTTATGCATTATGTAAATGTAAAGCTGTTTAATTTAAAATAAAATAAAATTTAAAATAAAAAAATTTTCTTCCAGATGAGAATATACACGTCTTTTTCAACATTAAAAACTCTAAAGAACTGCATAAGAGTAGTTCAGGCTTCTTCTGTTTGACGGGACTTTAAGAGAATCCGTTTCTCGCTTACTTGTGGAGTTCCTCCGGGATCTATTCTGGGGTCAATGTGTTTATATGTTACCTTCAGCTTTAGTTTCCTAAAACAAATAGTCACCTTCCTGAAATAATGTCCCAAATCACATTTTTGGCAAAAAATATACTTAAACCATTATTTTAGAAAGTAAAATAACTACCATTGGCTGAAGAGGCACTCTCTCTCTTCTTTAAAACATGACTTTGATGCTAGTTTTGACAACACTCCCAATTTTAACATCTTTTTATACCCCTGTCCTGTGGGGTCACATTTAACCAATAACACCAAGCTGATTTAAGACTTCAAAGGATAAATATTCCCTGCACAAAATGTCCTGCAGCAGGCTTTCTGTCAATAGTGCTTTGTGTGCTTCTCTTTAACCTGTTTGTTTCCCCGTCATGGACGCTCTCCTTCACCAGAACACAAACCGGTACATAGCAACAACAACATTTTACAGCAATTAAGCCAAACACTGAGCTGGTTGTCCAACATTCTGTGAAAAATGAACCAATGCTGACAGTGAAGTAATCAGGACCAAGTGTGAAAAGTCATTATAATCTCATTATAGCAAGTTATAAATATGCCAAACAATTAACCTCCTTAAAACAAACCTGTTTAGCCACAAATAAGGGTCAACATTAAGTCACTGCTATAGCTGCAACCAAAGTAAATGTAAACCAAATCCATGACATTTTTATTTTTGCAAAGTGAAGATGAGGCACAAAGAGAGATATTTGTAAATATTAAAAAGGAGAGGTTTGAGTTGAGCTTCTGGTTTAGAGCAGGAAGATATGGGGGGTTCAAATAAAGAATAGGAGAAATTGGAAACAAACAATGATAAAACAGTAAAATGTAACACTGTGAACTCAGTTTCATTTCATATGAAAAATCTGAATGTTATTAAAGTTTTGCCAGAATGTATTGATAAACCCCACTAAACTGTTAAAATATCAATAAATAGCTGTTTGTCTCAACATTCAGTAAGTGTTTCTTAAAATGAAATAAATTTGAACATCTTCTCCATCCAGGATTTTGTGATTGTTTTTGTGGGGGGTTTTTTGCAATCAAAATCAAAGATGTTTTGGTGCAAAATTAGAAATATTTGTAAGGAATGTTTATGTTAAATGTGACTTTTTATTACTCACTGTATTTATCACTTAAACTCAATTTTTTTTATACCAATTTTGTAGATTTGTGAAAAACTAGAGGGACTTATTGATGTAATTTAGAACCTAGAGGGCCACATAAAAAGCTACGGTAGGCCAGATTTGGCCCCCAGGCCTTGAGTTTGACACATGTGCTATAAACTATAAACCAAGCATAAACAGTGTGGGCTTTCTAACAAATATGATTGAAGTGACTCTTACTTGCCAGGTTGGGATTCATCCTTCAAGGCGTACCACTCGGGTCTGAATGCCTCATACCTGCACCATAAGGCCCAGTCAAAGCCATCAGCATAGGCCATATAAGGAATCACTATCAGGTCGTCAAAGTCGACTTTATCAAAAACTGGTGTCAGTATCACAGTGCGGTCCTCTTTAATCCGAGCCAGCAGGGGTTCTGCCCTGCAATCATAAAGCTGTTTTACTAGAACATTAAAAATAAGATGGAAAACTTCAGAATGCGAAGTCCTTCTACCAACCACTGAACATGGACCTCTATGTGTGCATCCAAGATGGCCACCACATCTCCCACTGCAGCTTTCCACCCCGTCAGTCTGGCCTGGGTCAGGCCGAGCTGCTCAGAGTGCCTAATCTTCTTCACCAGACCGGGCCGCTCCTCATGGATGGAGCTAATGTACAAGTCCAGCTTGTCCAATAAATCATCTGCAACAAAATAAAAACAAAAACCTTCTGAGGAGGAGATTCCATCTTCTCACATTTAGGGGAAATAAGGATGAACATTATCCAAACGCCCAAAAATTCCAGAGGCATTTAAAGGTCCTGTTTAAGCTAGGAACCCTTAGTGAAATTTAAAACGATATATGAAACACTTAATTCCCATAAACAGAGAGACTTTCATACAAAAGTCCTGTCATTCTTGAATGAATGCTAAAACTTCACTGCATGAATTGTATTAACTCATAAGTAGACCTCAAAATTAACGGTGCTTAATTGGCGTCATGTTTTTTTCCATCCTGTTACGTTCTTTTCTGTTACCCCCTTTTCTGGCTTATTATCCTCACCTTCGTAGCACAGCAGTCATTTTTGTTTGAGA